ATGCCTGACCTCAGGTGATCCACTTGCCTTGGCCTCCCAAAGTGCTGGGATTATAGGCATGAGCCACTGTGCCCGGGCCATTATGTACTCTTTACGTTCATTTTTCACTTATCCTTGGACAAGCAATGAAATACATTTGGTGCTATTTTATCTTTCACCTTTGACAATGGATTCAATCTCTTTCATGGCAGCTTCACTTTCAGCTTCTGCAAGTTTTTCATTGATTTCCATTATTTCCATGAGAAATTGCCTGTCCATTTCATAATCTGTCCTTTCAGGAATCTCTATTCCATGAAGCTTTAGCTATTGGGGCAGAAAGCAAGAAAAATAAGTTGAAGAAACTATGGGCAGAGTAATCTAAATCCTACTCATCCGTTAGGAAATAATACCACTAATAGAGAAAACTGGAATAGTCCCAGTAATGAAAGACTAAGGGGTATCAAAAGGTTGGACTGAAACATAAATGCTGGAATGGGATTTCCACTTAATGCTACCTGAAACTGTGTGACCTTGGTGTGATCTTGGGGTAGTCATCCCTCCACTCAGAGGTTGAACTAGATGTTTCTAAAGATTCTATTCAATTACAAAATTTTCTAGATTGTAAGATACTTTTTTTTTTTTTTTTTTGAGATGAAGTCTCGCTCTGTCACCCAGGCTGGAGTGCAGTGGCGTGATCTCAGCTCACTGCAACCTCTGCCTCCTGGGGAAGCAATTCTCTGCCTCAGCCTCCCAAGTAGCTGGGATTAGAGGCACCTGCCACCACGTCTGGCTAATTATTTTGTATTTTTGGTAGAGGCAGGGTTTCACCACCTTGACCAGGCTGGTCTTGAACTCCTGACCTCGTGATCCACCTGCCTCGGCCTCCCAAAGTGCTGGGATTACAGGCGTGAGCCACCATGCCTGGCCTCTTAAGATACTTTTGAGAGGAGAAAAAAAAAAAAAAAACACAACAGAAAATGACTTTTAACTAAAAGCTACCAACATCAAATCCTTGAAATTCATAGAAAAAAGCTAGAAAATAACAATTTAAAAAATGCTGTTGAGGCAAGTAATATTCACAGAGAAAATTATACTTGTGCTGTAAGGCTAAATACTATTGGGTCCCTGGACTCTTTTTTTTTTGAGAGGGTGCAGTAGTACAATCACAGCTCACTGTAGCCTCGACCTCTCAGGCTCAAGTGATCCTCCTGCTTCAACTCCAGAGTAGCTGGGACTACAGGTGTATGCCACCATGCCCAGCTAATTTTTGTATTTTTTGTAGAAATGGGGTGTCATCATGTTGCCCAGGATGGTCTTGAACTCCTGGGCTGAAGTGATCTGTCCACCTCAGCCTCCTAAAGTGCTGGGATTACAGGTGTGAGCCACCATGCCCGACCTCAAGCACTCTTCTGCTGAATAAAGGGGACGTGGCTGTCCTATGTCATAATGGGCATCAGGACTTCATGCACAAAAGGGTTGGGAAATCACCTTACAAGGTACAGTCCTCTGCTCAGGGGGGCCAGGAGGGTCTTATAGGCATCATTCACCAGGGTCGAATGCTTCTCTGAGAAGTCCTTTTCAGTCTGTTAGTGGAGATGAAGATAGTACTATTACCATCCAAATTACAAAGTTTTTTTTTTTTTTTTTTAGACAGAGTCATCCAGGCTGGAGTGTGCAGTGGCATGAACTCAGCTCACTGCAACCTCTGTCTCCCACGTTCAAGTGATCCTCCTGCCTTAGCCTCTCAAGTAGCTGGGACTATAAGCGTGTGCCACTGCACTAGGCTAATTTTTATATTTTTAGTAGAGACAGGGTTTCACCATGTTGGCCAGGCTGGTCTTGAACTCCCGACTTCAAGTGATCCACCTGCCTGGGCCTCCCAAAGTGCTGGGATTAGAGGCATGAGCCACTGCACCAGGCAGGCCCACAAAGTTTTATAATATGCTGATGGGCAGGCACCTAAGGAAGTGATTAAGTAGAGCTGGTATGGGATGAGATGTCTTTATACTCAGCTGATAGGTTTTAAGTTATCGGGGAAGTCAGACAAAAGCTATGAGTGAATGGCAGCTCTGGGTCTGGCAGGCTAGGGTCAGACTGCCATGGGGCAGACACAGCTGATTTTCCAGCTGGGTCCCTGATAATCACATAATCACAAGGCCACTGCCACCCAGTATGCACACATATTTGGGGATTATTGGGGTTGGCCAATAAGCTACCTGAGACCTCTGGCTGAAGAAATCTGGGTGGACAAGACGCTGCAGTTGCTGGTACCTGTGCTGGAGCTTTGCAGTATCAACTCTGAAGGAACGGTTGCTGGAAAGAAATTGGGAGATTAAATTTATGCAACAAATATTTAAAGATTTGTCTACCATGAGCCTGGTTCTTGCTCTTATGGGGAAGTTGCAATAACATATACACAGATAATTTCAAAAAGTGGTAGGTCCTACGAAGGGACACAGAACAGAATCAGAGAGGGTAGCAGATGTAGTGGACAATAAGACGACACTGAACTGAAACCTGAATGATGAGTAGTCAAAGATCAGATGAAAGAGACATCCAGGTGGAATTCCAAGAGCAAGGACCTCGAGGTGGAAGCAAGACAGGGATGCCTGAGGAACTTAAAGATCAATGTTACTGTAGCCCCTTATACATGTTCAGTGACTGGTGGGGGCAGATCCCACAGTTAAGGGAAAAGGACATTCCTAAATTACACAAAGATTTTTTGCCTGGCCAAACTTTAGTCAGATTTCTGAACCTTCTCCTAGGCCCAGCTGTATGCTTTCTTGTAAAATCCAGTTTTGGCAAATAACCTTGCTAAGTCAGTTTAGCTAGAATCCTTGATCCTCCTATTTGATTATCCTAGATCTCTGATCAGACTGTTCATCCTCCACCATCCCCTAGGTAATGTCTGAGCACCCTGGCCTGTCTTCAGCAAGAATACTGTTAGGGCGGTTTAGCCAGAATCCCGTTTACTCTGCTCCTTGGCTACAAATTTCCTTCTGCCCATGCTGTTTTTGGAGTTGAGACCAATCTCTCTCCCTAACTGCAAGACTCTATTGCAGTGCCCCCTCTACAAGATGATCTTTTTTTTCTTTTTTTTGAGACTGAGTCTGGCTCTGTCGCCCAGGCTGGAGTGCAGTGGCCAGATCTCAGCTCACTGCAAGCTCCGCTCCGGTTTACGCCATCTCCTGCCCCTCAGCCTCCGAGTAGCTGCGACCTACAAGCGCCCCGCCACTTCGCCGGCTTAGTTTTTTGTATCTGTTTTAAGTAGAGATGGGGCTTTCACCGTGTTAGCCAGGATATGTCTCGATTCCTGACCCGTGATCCACCCCTCTCGGCCTCCGAAAGTGCTGGGATTACAGCTTGAGCCACCGGCGCCCGCCCTTGTTCATTTCTTTTGAGAGGGGAGTCTCCGCTCTGTTCACCAAGGCTGGAGTGCCAGTGCGACCCTCCGCTCACTGCAAGCTCCGTCTCCTGGGTTCACGGCTCTGCGTCATTCTCCTCCCTTCCTCAGCCTCCGGAGTAGCTGTGCTACAGGCGCCCGCCCCCCGCGGCCGGCTAACTTTTTGTATTTTTAGTAGAGACAGGGTTCACCGTGGTCTCGATCTCCTGACCTGTGGAATGCCGCCAGCCTCCGCCCCCCAAAAGTGCTGGGAATTACCGGCGTTGACCACCGGACCCGCCCAAGATGATCTGAATAAAAGTCTCTTAGTGTGTTGAACAAGTGGTGGACGAAATAACGTTTTTCTTTAATACCACTCTATCTTTTCCACAGCCCAGGTCCCTTCATCCCTGTCTCCCGGTTTATCTTAATTCAACCCCTTTCACACTCTACTCCCAGAGTCTGTCCTATTTCCTTATCAGTTCAGCTCTATCCACACTGCCCCATCTCTCCAAGATCGTCAGCCTTAGGGGAAAAAACTATTTATTGGACCCTTTCCCTCGAATTTTCACTTTTCCCTCAGGTCTCGCCTACAATATTAAGATTTTCATGCTTTACTCCCCAATTTCGGACTACAATTCTGCAGTCCTTTCTTAAATACATCAAACCAACTCTTCCAGTCTCCCGGGCCCTGCCCCTCAAGTACCCCTTCCTCAAGCTCCGCCCCTCGACTTCTCCTTCCCTTTCCCGTAGGTACCGCCCCTCAAATCTCCCTCCCCTCTAGCCTCGGCCCCCCTATTTCCTCTAACTTCAGCGCCCGCCCCTCCAGTCCCGTTGGTCTCCCTTCTCCACACCTCAACGCTGCTTCCCTCAGTCCCCGCCTCTCAATTTCCTCCTGAGAAATCAAGACACTTCTCTCACGCCTGCTCTCTAGACCTCCGCCCCCCTATCGGTCCCGCCTTCTCTTCCGCAAGCCAGAGCCGTCCTCCCCTCTCGCAGGCCAGACCCCGACGTCTCTCTCGCCCGGGCCCGTTTCCCGAAACAGTCGCTCGTACCAGTCCATAAGGCTGAAGTAGTCTCGAGTGGGGTCAGGTGCCTGCAGCGCTCTGCACTGTGGGCAGAAGAACCTGTTCTCCCGCCCGGGGTCCCATGGGCCGCCGCAGTTCCAACAGTGGGGAGAATTGCTTCCCGCCTGCGACGCAGCATCGCAGCTTAGCAGTCTCCTTCTGGGAACCCCTGTCGGCCAAAACACCCACACGCGGAGCAAAGCCCCGACTCTCCCCCGCCACATCTCGCCGGCGGCCTAGCTAGCCGTGGTCACCCGTGGGGGAAAAGCAAAGAGAGCGTCCAACCAGACTAATGCTGCTGATTGGCTGGGGAGTCGAGGGGGCGGGATCACCCGAGGGGAACCCGAGTTCTAAGTTCCGCTCTGCCTTCTAAACTACAACTCCCAGGAAGCATTGAGGCGATGCCTGACGGCCACATCTGCTGCTCCTCATTGGTCCGGCGGCAGGGGAGAGGGTTTTGATTGGCTGAGGGTGGAGTTTGTATCTGCAGGTTTAGCGCCACTGCAGGCTGAGGCTGTGGAGAGTGTGCGGCTCCAGGTGGGCTCACGCGGTGAGTCATATGGGGAACTTCTGTTGGGTGTTTGGTGGTTCGAATCCCATCTTCAGCGTTTCGTGCGAGCGGAGTCTCCTGAGCTTCGCTTTGTCTGTATTTTTGAACTGAAGGGGGAGTGTGTGGGCGACTCTCTTCCTTTTTAGTAGATCATCCTCGAGGTGAAGTTCACTTCCCGTATTACTTACAAGCTGAAACAGGCCTGAACGGACAGGATAAGAAGGAACAGAGTTGTGTTCTTCAATATCAGAGCGAAGTTACTTTGTAAAAAGTTCTATAGATGTTAGTAATCATTGCCATTCTTTAGATTCAATCTCTAAAATACTTATAGAGAGGCCAGTCTTAGCTACTGGGCGCTGCAGGAACTGGAAACGCACTGAGCTGTGTAGGAGGATGTTCTGCGTGTCCCTAAGTAAGTCCCTAAGTAAGTGTATGGGATAGGGTGGCCAGGAGTGGGTAGGAGGGAATCAGTCCTCCTTCGGACTTAGGTTTTCTACTTGAAAAAAAAGATTGTGTTTCACTTGAAAGGCTTCTGGACTTTTTAAAAAAATTATTTATTTTTGATATAAAGTATACATGTATGATTACCACATATGTACCTTTTTTTTTTTTTTTTTTGAGACGGAGTCTCTCTCTGTTGCCAGGCTGGAGTGCAGTGGCGCGATCTGGGCTCACTGCAACTTCTGCCTCCTGGGTTCAAGCGGTTCTCCTGCCTCAGCCTCCTAAGTATCTAGGATTATAGGTGCCCGCCACCATGCCCGGCTAGTATTTTTAGTAGAGATGGGGTTTTACCATGTTGGCCAGGCTGGTCTTGAACTCCTGACCTCAGGTGATCCACCCGCCTTGGCCTCCCAAAGTGCTGGGATTACAGGTGTGAGCCACTGCACCCAGCCTAATTTCAGTTTTTTGAGGAATCACAATACTTTTGTGATTAGTGGCTATACTAATTTGCATTCCCACCAATGGTGTATGCGAACAGGGCAAGGTCAGACATAACTAGGTCCGTGAACATTTGTGTTTTTCCACAAGATCAGACTTACTGATGTTTTATTTTAATTGTAAAAGCCACGAGCTACATGGAGTTCCCAAGGAAGCAATTTTCTGTAGTACTACCTATTTACTTGGTAGTCAGAACCGTGGGCACACAGGCTGAAGCCATTCCACAAGTCAGTCAGCATTGTAAATTATACACAATAGTATATTTAATATATAAATGTTATAGGTTAAAAATCTTACATTAAAGTAACATTTAACATTCAGAGAAAAGGGGATCGGGAAAGCGGTTATCAAACCAGTCCAAGGAGAGCAATGTGGACAAAGAGAGTGTTTTGGCTTGATCTGGGGTGTCAGTGTCTTGTAAGGAAGAGTTTTTGATGTGGATGAGCCTTTGGTGGCAGATGCTGGGTGTTAATCGTGAGTGACAGCAAGATGGTGTCTGTTAGGACAGCCATTCTGACCTAATAAAGTCCTGGTCTTATGACCACAAAATTTTCTGGTAAGGACTAATAACAAAAGCGTGTACATGTTTATGTCCTTATCTGGTTTAGTACCGTCTTTTTTTGTTTTTTTTTTTTTGAGACAGAGTCTCGCTTTGTCTCTCGCAGGCTAGAGTGCAGTGGCGTGATCTCGGATCACTGCAACTTCCGACTCCCTGGTTCAAGCGATTCTCCTGCCTCAGCCTCCCAAGTAGCTGGGATTACAGGCACGCGACACCACGCCCAGCTAAGTTTTGTATTTTTAGTAGAGTCGGGGTTTCACCATGATGGCCAGGATGGTCTCGATCTCCTGACTTTGTGATCCGTCTGCCTTGGCCTCCCAAAGTGCTGGGATTACAGGCGTGAACCACTGTGCCTGGCCAGTACAGTCTTTATTAATTAGACAAACATCTGGTCCCTATTGGCATAATGCCTTTTAAAATACAAGAGCCTTTTTCTAAGATAAAATTACTTATGTCAAGAGCACTCTGTACAGTTCCCCTTTCTCCACATTCTTCCCAGCATCTGTTATTGCCTGTCTTTTATTCAAACCATTTTAACTGGGGTGAGATGGTATCTCATTGTAGGTTTGTTTGTTTGTTTGTTTGAGACAGAGTCTTACTCTGTCGCCTAGGCTGGAATGCAGTGGTGCGATTTTGACTCACTGCATTCTCTGCCTCCCAGGTTCAAGCGATTCTCCTGCCTCAGCCTCCCAAGTAGCTGGGATTATAGACACCTGCCACCATGCCCGGCTAATTTTCATATTTTTAGTGGAGACAGGGTTTCACCATGTTGGCCAGGCTGGTCTCAAACTCCTGACCTCAAGTGATCTGCCTGCCTCCGCCTCCCAAAGTTCTGGGATTACAGGCATGAGATACTGTGCCCAGGCCTCACTGTAGTTTTGATTTGTTATTTCTCCAATGATCAGTGATGTTCAGCATTTTTTTATATACCCGTTGGCCATTTGTATGTCTTCTTTTGAGAAATGTCTGTTCGGATCTTTTGCCCATTTCTTTTTTTTGAGACAGAGTCTCACTCTGTCACCTAGTCTGGAGTGCAGTGGCGCGATCTCGGCTCACTGCAACCTCCGTCTCCGTTTCCTGGGTTCAAGTGATTCTCGTGTCTCAGCCTCCAAAGTAGCTGGGACTACAGGCACGAGCCACCACGCCCAGCTAATTTTTTGTATTTTTAGTAGAGATGTGGTTTCGCCATGTTGGCCAGGCTGGTCTTGAACTCCTGACCTCAGATGATCCACCCCGCCTTGGCCTCCCAAAGTGCTGGGATTACAGATGTGAGGCACTGTGCCTGGCCTGCCCATTTCTTAAATTGGATGATTTGTCTTTTTGCAGTTGAGTTTCATCTCCTTATATATTCTGATTATTCATCCCTTGTCAGATGGCTAGTTTGGAAATGTTTTTTCCCATTCTGTGGGTTGTCTCTTCACTTTGTTGATTATTTCCTTTGCTGTGCAGAAGCTTTTTTAGCTTGATGAAATCCCAGTTGTCTGTTTTTGCTTTAGTTGCCTGTGCTTTTGAGGTCTTACGCAAAAAACCTGTGCCCAAGATGAGTGTCCTGGAGCATTTCCCCAGTGTTTTCTTCTAGTGGTTTTATAGGTTTGGGGACTGGACTTCTGTTTACAGTCCTGGAGTTTTGCTGCCTTCACTTTGGTCTTTCACTCACTTCTCTGCATGACTTTCCAATAACAATGGCTCCCAGAGAGCTTGGGTGGGTGGGGGGAGTATTGCATGCATCACTTCACTTAATCCTTATGGTCTGTCTACTTATTTTTGATAAGAAAACAGGCTTAGCGAAGTTGTGATCTACCTAAAGTCATGCACAGTTTCACTCAAGTGTCTGACTCCAGATCTGCTTGCCTCTAATCTCTCATAGCAACTTGTTGACACATTTTCTCCAGTTGTCCTGTCTTGCTCAAAAAGCTGTGGGGAAGACTCAGCCTGGCTGAGGTAGTATTAGACCAGCAGTCCCTGGAGTGGCATACTCAGTTTTGGCATTGCCTTCCTGGTATGTTTTAAAGAAAACTCATCAGAACCTTTGTATCCTTTTTTTTTTTTTTTCCTGGTGATAGGGTCTCTGTCACCTAGGCTGGAGTGTAGGCTCGATCACGGCTCACTGCAGCTTCAGCCTCCTGGGCTCAAGTGATCCTCCCACCTCAGCCTCCCAAGTAGCTGGGACTGCAGGTGCACACCACCATGCCCTGCTAATTTTTTGTATTTTCTGTAGATATTGGATTTCACAATGGTGTCCAGGCTGGTCTCGAATTCCTGGGCTCGAGGAATCTGCCTGCGTCAGCCTCCCAAAGTGCTGGGATTACAGACTAGACCCACCACACCTGGCAGAACATTTGTATCTTGAAAGCTGTGTAAATACAATCAATGTGGGTATCGTAGTCCCTACTTATCAGCGGTAGTAATTTCAGTTACCAATGGTCAGCTGTGATCTGAAACCAAGTGGAAAATTCATAAGAAATAATCAATTCATGGCTGGACGTCGTAGCTCATGCCTGTAATCCTAGCACTTTGGGAGGCCGAGGTGGGCCTGAGGATCACCTGAGGTCAGGAGTTTGAGATCAGGCTGGCCAATACGGTGAAAACCCTGTCTCTACTAAAAAAAATACACAAATTAGCCAGGCGTGGTGGTGCGTGCCTGTAATCCCAGCTACTTGGAAGGCTGAGGCAGGAGAATTGCTTGAACCCAGGAGGTGGAGGTTGCAGTGAGCCGAGATTGTGCCACTGCACTCCAGCCTAGGTGACTGAGTGAGACTCTGTTTAAAAAAAAAGAAATAATCAATTCATAAGTCTTAAATTATGTGGTTTTGCAGTGCTTGTGTTCAAGTCACCCTTATATTTAATAATGGCCCCAAAGCAAAAGATGCTGACAATTTGGATATTGCAAAGAGAAGCTGTAAAGTGTTTCCTTTGGCCGGGCGCGGTGGCTCAAGCCTGTAATCCCAGCACTTTGGGAGGCCGAGACGGGCGGATCACGAGGTCAGGAGATTGAGACCATCCTGACTAACACGGTGAAACCGTCTCTATAAGAAATACAAAAAAACTACCGGGCGAGGTGGCGGGTGCCTGTAGTCCCAGCTACTCCAGGAGGCCTGAGGCTGGAGAATGGCGTGAACGCCGGGAGGCGGAGCTTGCAGTGAGCTGAGATCCGGGCCCACTGCACTCCAAGCCTGGGCGACAGAGCGAGAACTCCGTCTCAAAAAAAAAAAAAAAAAAAAAAAGTGTTTCCTTTAACTGAAAAGGTGAAAAAGCTCAATTTAATAAGGACAAAAAAATTTGTATGCTGAGGCTGGTAACATCTGTGGTAAGAACAAATCTTCTATTTGTGAAATTGTGAAGAAGGAAAAAGAAAGTCGTGCATAGTTTATATAGGGTTCTGTACTATGTGAGGTTTCAGGCATCCATTTGGGGGGTCTTGGATCTTATCCCCCTGTGATGGTGGGGACTATGATAGTGTTGTTTCCTGTGTTCTCCTGGAGTAGTAGCCTGAGTATGGGGAGGAAGAGAATGTCCTCCTCCCCCCGCTTTTTTTTTTGTTAATCCGATTAGGTCAGCAGTGGACGTTACTTTGGTTTTACTGGTGGTTCTGTTATCAGAGTCTTGTTTTGTTTTCTGTTCTTTGGAGATAGGGTCTCACTCTGCCACCCAGACTGGTGTATAAGTGGTATGATCGTAGCTCACTGCAGCCTTCAACTCCTGGGCTCAAGTATTTCTCCCACCTCACCTACCCGAGTAGCTGAGGCCACAGCTGCATGCCACCATGTCTAATTTTCTTACTTTTTGTACAGGGGAGTCCCACTATGTTGGCCAGGCTGGTATTGAACACATGACCTCAAGTGGTCCTCTTGCCTTGGCCCTCCCAAAGTGCTGAGATTACAGGCATGAGCCACTGCACCCAGCCTGTTATGAGAGTCTGTCTATTAGGTTAATTCTAAGACAAGGGTGGGAGCCTCTGTTATGGTCTCCAGTTTATAAAAGATAGTTCCTGCAAGATTCCATCAAGGCTGGAAGAACATTTAGGATGCTGAAAAGATAAGCCCTATAGTTACTTAGCATCACAAAGGGATAGGTGGAGTTATTTAGAGCTGTCTTCCTTTGTGTTCTGCCTCATCAGGTCACTGGGTCCTTAGGTGTCAGGGAATCTAGATTGAATGAACAGGTGTGTTTCCCTTTAGGAGCAAGCCCAGAGGAAAAGGGGTACCAGTGACATTTTATGTAAATGGACCCTTTGGAATAATGCAGCAGGTTATTGTACAATTTCTTTTTGACTTCTATTCCAAGCCACCTGATCCTTTGTCTTCTTTCTCTTTTCAAAATACACGGATGCTCCTCAACTTTCAATGGCGTTATGTCTAAATAAACCCATTCTAAGTTGAAAATATTGTTAAATTGAAAATACATTCAATATACCTAACATACCAAACATCATAGTTTAGCCTAGCCTCCTTTAAACGTGCTCAGAACACTTATATCAGGCTGCAGTTGGGCTAAATTATCTAACACAAAGATTATTATTATTTTTCGTAGAGGTGGGGTCTCAAACACCTGCCCTCAAGCAATCCTTCTACCTTTGCCACCCAAAGTATTGTGTTTACAGTTGTGAGTCACTGCACCTGACCTATTTTATTTTTAAATTTTATTTATTTCATTAATTTATTTTTTTGAGACAGGGTTTCACTCCTGTCACCCAGGCTGGGGTGCAGTGGCGTGACCTCAGCTTACTGCAACCTCCACCTCCTGGGCTCAAGCAATTCTCCTGCTTCAGCCTCCTGATTAGCTGGAACTATAGGTGCCTGCCACCACGCCCGGCTAATTTTTTGTATTTTTAGTAGAGATGGAATTTCACTATGTTGGCCAGGCTGGTCTTGAACTCCTGACCTCATGATCTGCCCGTCTTGGCCTCCCAATGTGGTGGGATTACAGGTGTAAGGCCCCATGCCTGGCCCCCACTATACATGAAATTTAAATGTAGTGTTGATTGTATCAATACATTTTTGGTTTCAGTCTTAATTTAAAATAATTGGACAAATGTCAGCTTTTATGAGCCCCCCAGCTCAATTTTATTGCTTTTTACTTATTCATAATCTTCAGATAATTTGTTTTTTCCCTGTAGTTTATGGCTGTCAGACAAAAAACTGATCCGGTGACAATGATCTGGTGAAAAGCTCAGCCCAGAAGAACTGTAGGTCTGGGCTGTTAGGACTTTTAATTTTTGGAGAGCATGTTAGCCCTGGGTTCTTTTCTTTTCTTCTCTTCTCTTCTCTTCTCTTCTCTTCTCTTCTCTGTTGCTGTTGTAATAGGCCCATTGTTTACTTTTTAAAGTCTTGTACCTCGAAACTCACCTTTGTTATTGGACACTTTCTTTTTGAGGTCGTGATGTCTCGGGAGTCAGATGTTGAGGCTCAGCAGTCCCATGGCAGCAGTACCTGTTCACAGCCCCATGGCAGCGTTACCCAGTCCCAGGGTTCCTCCTCACAGTCCCAGGGCATATCCAGCTCCTCTACCAGCACGATGCCAAACTCCAGCCAGTCCTCTCACTCCAGCTCTGGGACACTGAGCTCCTTAGAGACAGTGTCCACTCAGGAACTCTATTCTATTCCTGAGGACCAAGAACCTGAGGACCAAGAACCTGAGGAGCCTGCCCCTGCACCCTGGGCTCGATTATGGGCCCTTCAGGATGGATTTGCCAATCTTGGTAAGACCCTTTGTTATATGGTATCATGTTTTGTTCAGAAAAACAGTTACAGAAAGTTGTTGTGTTACCGGGTGGAAGGTTCTGATTGTGAGTTGTCCAGGTTTTTGGCACGTTGAACAAATAATTGAACATCGTGCATGAATAAGCAATGAAAGCATAGATTTATTGAAGTGGAAGGCAATAGAAGCTAAAGTACATGTCACAGGATGGGAGCAGGCCTGAGCAAGTGGCTGCAGAGCCCTGGTAGCAAAGTCTTCTGGTGTTCAAGTACCCTCTAGAGGTCTCCCATTGGTTACCTCCTATGTAGATGAAGGGCTGGCTCACAGCCCATTAGAGGCCACAGTGAACTGGACCTCGGCCATTCCAAGACTGGTGGGGATTGGCGCCTTATGCAAATGAAGGTCCTAGAATGGACAAATCATAGGCCAGAGTGCAAATTCTTTTTTTTTTTTTTGAGAAATCTCGGCTAGGCTCACTGCAACCTCTGACTCCTGGGTTCAAACGATTCTCCTATCTCAGCTTCCTGAGTAGTTGGGATTACAAATGCATACCACCGCACTTGGCTAATTTTTGTATTTTTAGTAGAGATGGGGTTTCACCATGTTGGCCAGGCTGGTCTTGAACTTCTGACCTCAAGTGATCTGCCTGCCTCGGCCTCCCAAAGTGCTGGGATTACAGGCATGAGCCACCATGCCTGGCTGCTCCAGGAAGTTTGTGTGAATCGGCCTTAGATTCCCTGCCTTCAGACCCTATTTTCCTGCCTTAGTTGCAGCAGAGCGCTTGAGCCACCTTAGAATGATTCTGGAGTTTGAAGGTGATAAAAGGTAAAACCAAAGAGGCAGTGTTGGGTGTTGCATTGGCTGTTACCAGCTGTGGATTCCGTTCATTTATTCTTTCAACAAATATTAATTGGATATTTACAATGTGCTGTCCATCCAAGGATCTGAAGGTAGCATTGGACCCTCTTCCTAGAAAAATGCAGATTCATGCAAACTTGCAAACATTATCCCCTAATCACAAAAGCTTCACCAGTTAACCTCTGCTGTGGTTTGCCACAGCTTCAGAGAATCAGAGCTGTTCAGAATAGAGATGGCTATTTGTTGACTACTTGTTATTTGTTTTTGTCTCAAAATAGTCAACCTTGTGATTTAAATATGTTGACCCTTTCTGACACCTCCTGGTTCCAATAGTAAGTTTCGCTATGCATATGTTTAAAATACACATGTGTGTATTTTAAAATTGCCAGGCGTGGTGGCTTATGCCTGTAATCCCACCACTTTGGGAGGCCAAGGCAGAAGGATCACTTGAGGCCAGGAGTTCAAAACCAGCTTGGGCAACATGGCAAAACCCTGTCTCTACTGAAAATACAAAAATTAGCCAGGTGTGGTGGTGCATGCCTGCAATCCCAGCTACTCAGGAGGATGAGACATGAGAATTGCTTGAACCTGGGAGGCAGAGGTTGCAATGAGCCAGGATTGTGCCACTGCACTCCAGTAAAAAAAAATAGTGTTTTTTTTTTTCTTTTCTCTTACATTACAATGACCTCTTTACTAAACACATTTGAACCTGGCATTAATAGGGTAGAATATATTAATATAAAGAAATGAAGGACTGGTATATCGTTTTGTGTTTTGTCACTCACCATCCTTGTTTTATTTCATGTCTAACTTTGATGTCTTGAAAAAACTGTAAAAAATGGAGAAACAATACACCTGCATTCTACATATACAACTTTAAATTTATAAGTAGACACTCGAAGCTATTTTTTTACCCATTTAAAATATATTTTTTCAGGCCAGGCATGGTGGCTCATGACTGTAATCCCAGCAGGTTGAGAGACCAAGGTGGGCGGGATCACTTGGGGTCAGGAGTTCAAGACTAGCCTGGCCAACATGGGGAAACCCTGTCTCTATTAAAAATACAAAAATTAGGCCAGGCGTGTTGGCTCACACCTACAATCCCAGCACTTTGGGAGGCCGAGACGGGCGGATCACCTGCGATGGGGAGTTTGAGACCAGCCTAACTAACATGGAGAAACCCCGTCTCTACTAAAAATACAAAATTAGCCAGGCATGGTGGCGGGCTCCTGTAGTCCCAACTACTCAGGGGGCTGAGGTAGGAGAATTGCTTGAACCCGGGAGGCAGAGGTTGTGGTGAGCTGAGATCGCACCACTGCACTCCAGCCTGGGCAGCAAGAGAGAAACTCTGTCTCAAAAAAAAGAGAAAAAAACAATTAGCCGGGCATGGTGGCAGGCACCTGTAATCCCACCTACTCAGGAGTCTGAGACAGGAGAATTGCTTGAACTTGGGAGGTGGAGGTTGTAGTGAGCTGAGATTGTGCCACTGCACTCCAGCCTGGGTGACAGAGCGAGATTCTGTCTCCAAAAAATAAATAAATAAATAAAATACAATATATTTTTCAGATAGGCCTATAGGTTTAGATGAGTGGGAAACAGAAATGGTGAGAAAGGGCTAAATGGGATACATCACCTTTAAAAGTGAGAAAACAAATAGGCTGGGCGCAGTGGCTCACAACTGTAATCCCAGCTCTTAGGGAGGCAGAAGTGGGAGGATAGCTTGAACCCAGGAGTTTGAGACCTGCTGGGCAATATAGTGAGACCCCATTCTCCACAAAAAGGAAAAACAAAAAAAGACGAGTAAACAAAGAGCCTGATTGGATGACCAGCATAAAGTAGATGCTGAATATATAGAGGCTGTTTATTATTATTATTATTATTATTTGAGATGGAGTCTCACTCTGTCACCCAGGCTGGAGTACAGTGGTGCGATCTTGGCTCACTGCAACCTCTGCCTCCTGGGTTCAAGTGATTCTCCTGCCTCAGCCCCCTGAGTAGATGACATTATAGGTGCCCACCACCATGCCCGGCTAAGTTCTGTATTTTTTTAGTAGGGACGGGGTTTCACCATGTTGGCCAGGCTGGTTTCAAACTCCTGACCTCAGGTGATCTGCTCGTCTTGGCCTCCCAAAGTGGTAGGATTACAGGCGCGAGCCACCACGCCTGGCCAAGGCTATTTATTATTATTATTTGTTAATTATTTATACCTATGTTTTCTTCTAAAATTTTATAGTTTTAATTCCTTTTTGTTTGTTTGTTTATTTATTTTTTTTGAGACAGGGTCTCGCTGTCATCCAGGCTGGAGTGCAGTGGCGCAATCTCGGCTCACTTCAGCCTCTGCCTCCCAGGCTCAAGCAATTCTCCCACTTCAGCCTCCTGGATAGCTGGGACCACAGATGTGCACCACCATTCCCAGCTAACTTTTTGTATTCTTGGTGGAGGTGGGGTTTCATCATGTTGCACAGTCTGGTCTCAAACTCCTGAGCTTAAGCGATCCATCCATCTCAGCTTCCCAAAGTGTTGGGATTACAGGCATGAGCCACAGTACCTGGCCTAGTTTTAGCTCTTATGTTTAATTAAGGTCCTTTATTCATTTTGAGTTTTATTTATTTGTTTATCTATTGAGACGGAGCCTTGCTCTGTCACCAGGCTGCAGTGCCATGGTGTGATCTCAGCTCACTGCAACCTCCTCCTCCCAGTTTCAAGCAATTCTCCTGCCTCAGCCTCCCAAGTAGGTGGGATTACATGCTTATGCCACCATGCCTGGCTAATTTTTGTATTCTGAGTAGAGATGGGGTTTCACCATGTTGGCCAGGCTGGTCTCGAACTCCTGCCCTCAGGTGATCCACCTGCTTCAGCCTCCCAAAGTGCTGGGATTACAGGCATGAGCCACTGTGGCTGGCCTACTTTTTTATTTTCATTTTTTGTAGAGACAGAGTCTCGCCATGTTACCCAATCTGATCTCGAACTCCTGGTGTCAACTGATCCTCCTGCCTCAGCCTCCCAAAGTGCTGGGATAAGAGGTGTGAGGCACCATCTCCGGCCAGTTTTCAGTCTTTTGTCACTAAGTATGATGTTAGCTGTGGGTCTTTCCCTTTTCCTTTCCCCTTTCCCCTTTCTTTTTTCCTTTCCTTTCCTTTCCTTTCCTTTCCTTTCCTTTCCCCTTTCCCCTTTCCCCTTTCCCCTTTCCCCTTTCCCCTTTCCTTTCCTCTTTTCTTTCCTCTTTCCTTTCCTTTCTTTCTTTCCTTTCCCTTTCCTTTCCGTTCTGTTCTGTTTCGTTCCGTTCCGTTCCTTTTCTCTTTCCCCTTTCCTTTCCTTTCCTTGTTTCTTTCCTTTTCTTTCCTCTTTCCTCTCTTCTCCTCCTCTCTTCTCTCTCCTCTTTGAAGACTAAGCTGTGGATGTTTCATTAAAGCTCTTTCTGGGCCGGGGGCTGTGGCTCGCGCCTGTAATCCAAGCACTTTGGGAGGCCGAGGTGGGCGGATCATGAGGTCAGGAGATCAAGACCATCCTGGCTAACACGGTGAAACCCCATCTCTACTAAAAATACAAAAACAAAACTAGCCGGGCGTGGTGGCAGGAGCCTGTAGTCCCAGCTACTTGTGAGGCTGAGGTGGGAGAATGGGGTGAACCCGGGAAGCGGAGCTTGCAGTGAGCCGAGATCACACCACTGCACTCCAACCTGAGCCACAGAGTGAGACTCTGTCTCAAAAAAAAAGAAAAAAAGAAGTTCTTTCTGGCTGGGTGCTCTGATCCTTTCTCCCTATAATCTCAGTGCTTTGGGAACCTATGGCAGGAGAAGTTCTCGAGGCCAGGAGTTGGAGACTGCAGTGAGCTATGATTGCATGCCACAGAGCAAGACTTTGCCTCCAAATTAAAAAATAAATAAATAAATAAATAAATAAAATAAAAGCTCTTTCTTAGGTGAAGGAATTTCCTCCTATTCCTAGTTTTCTGAGTATTTTTTATTATAAAAGGGGGTTGAATTTTGCCAAAATTTTTTTGTGTCTATTTTCCTGTATTCTATTGTTATTGTGTATTATATTGATTGGTTTTCAGATGTTAAACCAACCAAGCTTTCCTGGGTTAATTCTTATTTGGTCATTTGTAATATTTTTTATGTGTTGCTGAATTTAGTTTGCTACTGTTTTGTTGAGGATTTTTGTATCTACATTTGTAAGCGATATTGGTTTGTGGTTTTACTGTCATGTCTCTGTCTGGTTTTGGTGTGAGGGTATTGCTGGCTTCATAGATGAGTTGACAGTGTTCCCTTCTGTATTTCTTCGAAAAGTTTGAGAATAATTGGTATTAGTTCTTTACATATTTGATAGAATTTAAAATGAAGCCAGCCATGTGTTTCTTTTTTCTTTTTTTTTTCTGAGGCAGGGTCTCACTGTGTTACTCAGGCTGGAGTGTTACTCACAATCACGTTTCACTGCAGCCTTGACCTCCCAGGCCCAACTCCTACCTCAGCCTCCCGAGTAGCTGGGACCACAGGCATGTGCCATCATGCGTGGCTAATTTTTTTATTTTGATAGAGATGGGGTCTCCCTATGTTGCTCAAGCTAAAGTGAGGCTATCTGGGACTGCGTTTTCTTTGTAGGGGATATTTTGATTACTCATTCAGTCTTTTGTTTTGTTTTGTTTTTTGGAGACAGAGTCTTTGTCACCCAGGCTGGAGTGCAGTGGCACGATCTTGGCTCACTGTAGCCTGTGCCTCCCAGGTTCAAATGATTCTTGTGCCTCAGCCTCCAGAGTAGCTAGGACTACAGGTGTGCGCCACCACGCCTGGCTTAATTTTTTTTTTTTTTTTTCATTTGTAGTAGAGCTGGGGTTTTGCCATGTTGCCTAGGCTGGTCTTGATCTCCTGAAGTCAGCCAGTCCACCTGCCTTGACCTCCCAAAGTGCTAGGATTATCATTCAATCTTTTCACTTCTTATGGGTATATTCAGATTTTCTATTTCTTCTTGTGCTAGTTTTGGTAGTTTGTATCTTTCTAGGAGTTTGTCCATTTCACCTATGTCATCTAATATTGTCACACAATTGTTCAGTTATTCTTTTTAAATAATTTTTATTTCTGTCAGATCAGTAGTAATTACCTTTCTCATTCTGATTTTAGCAATTTGAGTCTTGTCTCTTTTTTTCTTGTTTAGTCTGTCTGAGGTTTACCAACTTGCTGATCTTTTTAAGTAACTAAATTTGGATTTGTTAATTTTCTTTTTCTTTCTTTCTAGAGACAGGGTCTCACTCTGTCACCCTGGAGTGAGTGGTGCAGTCACAGTTCACTGCAGCCTTGACTTTCAGGCTCAAGTGAACCTCCTTCCTTGGCCTCCCAAAGTACTGGGATTACAGGCCTGAGCCATTGCGCCCAGCCCATATGTAATTTTGATAGATCTTGCTAAATTGTCCTCCCTAGACAATTATAGACAATGTGAGTATAAATTATATTCCCACTGGCAATGTATGGGAGTACCCACTTTTTCATACCTCTTGCCAGCACAGGGTGATATGAAACTTTTGAATTTTTGCCAATCTAATAGGTAAAACATGAAATCTTAATGTGTTTTTGATTTCTAAATTTTCTTATATTGGGTTAGCTTGGCCACCTTTCATATGTTTGAGCCAGCTGTATTTCTGTTTTTTGTAAATTATCTTTTCATATCCTTTACCCATTTTTCTACTGGACTGTTTATCTTTTTTGTTGATTTATAGGAACCTAACATTTATTAAGGAAGTTATTCCTTTTCCTGATAGGAGTTGCTCATATTTTCCCTAGTCTGTCTTGCAGTGAACATTTAATTGCCTACCATGTACAATATCCTAAGTGCTGGAGTTGTACTGTTAAACAAGAGGTCTCCAGCTGCCCTCCTGGAGGTTATGTTCTAATGCAGGGAGGTGGGGAGAAAATATACAAATAAGCAAGGTAATTTCTAGTCATGGCCCATACTCAAAAAGAAATAAAACGGGATAACATTATGATAACAGGTGAGTAATGTTTATATAACAAGCTGAGTGGGAGGCTGGGCGCGGTGGTGCACGCCTGTTATCCCAGCACTTGGGAGGCCAAGGTAGGCGGATCACAAGGTCAGGAGATCGAGACCATCCTGGCTAACACGGTGAAACCCCTTCTCTACTAAAATTACAAAAAATTAGCTGCGCGTGGTGGCATGCATCTGTAGTCCCAGCTACTCGGGAGGCTGAGGGCAGGAGAATCGCTTGAACCTGGGAGGTGGAGGTTGCAGTGAGCTGAGATCTAGCCTGGGTGACAGAGCAGGATTCCGTCTCCAAAAAAAAAAAAAAAAAAAAAAGAAAAAGCTGAGCGGGAGATGATAGTGGAGTCCAAAGGCAGATAGTATTGTGTAAATAGTATCTATACAAAAGGCAAGGTGGAATGAGCCATTTGTGTAGTTGGAGAAGAAGTGCTAAGACTGCAAGGCAGATTGAACCCAGCATTCTTGGGGGCAGTGAAAGGAGGCCAGTGGTGCTGGGTGTCATGAGCAAGGGGAGAGGGGTATGAGGTGGGGCTGGAATGGTGGCAGGGGCCAGACCTTGAGCATCTATTAGGCCGTAAGGAAGAGTGCAGATTTTATGCTAAGTGTTGTGGAAAACCTCAGGAAGGTAATAATGCTAAGTGTTGTGGAAAACCTCAGGAAGGTAATAAGCAGGAAGTTACTGTATTGCAAGTAATTTTCCAAGTCATTAAAAATTACTTGAGAACTTTTAATGACTATTTGTTATTTCACAGTTTTATATATATATGTATGTGTATGTGTGTGTGTGTATAAGTACATATATTAATGGATTATAATATATTACATATTATTTATTATGTATTATATATTATATGTATATATAATTAACATATGTAATATATAAGTTGTATTATGTATAAATATATAATTCTATTTAACGTGACTTATATATTGTATGTATAATAAATACAAATTATATATTATATATAATAAATATAAAATAAATATATAATATATATTAAATATTTGTTTATTTATGTTTTTGAGACAGGGTCTTGCTCTGTTTCTTGCTCAAGTGATCCTCCTGCTTCAGCCTCCTGAGTAGCTGGACTACAGGCATGCACCCCACATCTGGGTGATTTTTTTTTTTTTTTTTTTTTGAGACAGAGTCTCGCTTTGTTGTCCAGGCTGGAGTGCAGTGGCGCAATCTCAGCTCACTGCAACCTCCACCTCCCGGGTTCAAGCAGTTCTCTGCCTCAGCTTCCCGAGTAGCTGGCACCTACCACCATGCCCAGCTACTTTGGGTATTTTTAGTGGAAACAGGGTTTAGTAGAAACAGGGTTTCACCATCTTAGCCAGGCCGGTCTTCAACTCCTGATCTCATGATCCACTCGTCATGGCCTCCCGAAGTGCTGGGATTACAGGCGTGAGCCACCACACCTGGCCAAGTTTTTTTTTTGAAACAGCGTCTCACTCTCGCCCAGGCTAGTGTGCAGTGGCGCAATCTCAGCTCACTGCAGCCTCGACCTCCTGGGCTCAAGCGATCCTCCCGCCTCAGCCTCCTGAGTAGCTGAGACCACCATACCCTACTGATTTTTTATTTTTTGTAAAGATAGGGTTTCACCGTGTTGCCCAGACTAATTTTTAAATTCTTGGTAGAGATGGGTGCCCGCTATGTTGCCCAGGCTGGTCATGAGCTCCTGGGGTCAAGTGATCCTCCTGCCTTAGCCTCCCAAAGGGCTGAGATTACAGGTGTGAGCCACTGCGCCTGGCCATGTGATTATAGATAAACTGCCATTTGTTAAACTCATTGTAAATGTTGTTTTTTCTCTCCTGATTTTTAATCTTATAAAATCTTGATAAGCAGACTGATAATTCTGATTGCCTTCTTAGGCTATTTTCCTACAATTAGCATTTATGAGCAATTTTTAAACGTTTGATACATGAAATTCAACAGCTGTCTGCTGCATGCTTTTGTATTACAGAATGTGTGAATGACAACTACTGGTTTGGGAGGGACAAAAGCTGTGAATATTGCTTTGATGAACCACTGCTGAAAAGAACAGATAAATACCGGACATATAGCAAGAAACACTTTCGGATTTTCAGGGTAGGTAACAAATACCCACGTATCTAGGAGAGCTGGTAATCTAGTCATTGTTTTTAGGTATTTTCCCACTATAAATCTCTGCTGTTCAAAGTTTGAAATAAAATGTTCTCTGTTTTAGGAAGTGGGTCCTAAAAACTCTTACATTGCATACATAGAAGATCACAGTGGCAATGGAACCTTTGTAAATACAGAGCTTGTAGGGAAAGGAAAACGCCGTCCTTTGAATAACAATTCTGAAATTGCACTTTCACTAAGCAGAAATAAAGGTAATATTATTATCTTATGGTTACTGGATTTTTTTTTTTCCACTCCCTCATAGGAGGAAAATTTGTCCTGTCCTTACAGAGTATGGTTTAAGTGAGTAAAGATGAGTAAGTTGCCAGGCGCAGTGGCTCACACCTGTAATCCCAGCACTTTGGGAGGCCGAGGCGGATGGATCACCTGAGATCAGGAGTTCGAGACCAGCCTGACCCACATGGAGAAACCCTGTCTCTACTAAAAGTACAAAATAAGCCGGGCATGGTGGCACATGCCTGTAATCCCAGCTACTCAGGAGGCTGAGGAAGGAGAATCGCTTGAACCCAGGAGGCGGAGGTTGCGGTGAGCCGAGATCGCGCCATTGCACTCCAGCCTGGGCAACAAGAGTGAAACTCTGTCTCAGAAAAAAAGATGAGTAAGTTAGCATTCAAGATTCAACTTTGCCGTCCTAGTTGCATTGTTAAATTTTGAAACAGTTCCATCCAGACAGATTTTTAAGGTTTTAAGGTTTAATTGGTTTTATGTAATGCCATATACTGTGTTTTTTTTTTTTTTAATTTATTTTTATTTTTTTATTTTTTATTTTTAATACGGGGTCTTGCACTGTCACCTGGGCTGGAGTGCAGTGGCGCAATCTCGGTTCACCGCAGCCTCTGCCTCCCAGTTTCAAGCGATTCTCCTTGCCTCAGCCTCCCAAGTAGCTGGGATTACAGGCACCCGCCACCACACCCAGCTAATTTTTTTGTATTTTTAGTAGAGATGGGGTTTCACTATGTTAGCCAGGCTGGTCTCAAACTCCTGACCTCGTGATCTGCCTGCGTCAGCCTCCCAAATTGCTGGGATTACAGGCGTGAGGCCCCACTTGGCCCATATACTGTTAATTGAATTATCATGGTGATTAAAATAAGTTATAGTTCATTGATTGATTCAGTTTATACCACATCAGTCTTAGATATCTATGAATTGTTGTTTCAGGCCATTAATTCATTTTTCCTTCCTCTTCACCTCATTCTTTCCTTTCTTCATTTTTTCCATTCATTTTTGTCTTTCTTTCTTTTTTGAGACATGGTCTCACTCTGTCACCCAGGCTGGAGTTCAGTGGCACTGCAACCTCTGCCTCCCAGGCTCAAGTGATCCTCCCACCTCAGCCTCCTGAGTAGCTGTGACCACAGACACATGCCATCACGCCTGGCTAATTTTTTGTATTTTTGGTACAGATGGGGTTTCACTATGTTGGCCAGACTGGTCTTAGACTCCTGAGCTCAAGCAATCTGCCTGCCTTGGCCTCCCAAAGTGCTGAGATTACAGGTGTGAGCCACCACGTCTAGCCCCATTCCTTTATTTCTGTATACATTTATTGAGTTCCTTTTATATACCAGGCGTTAGGATATAGGTGCTTCTGTAAGAGGCTCATTTTAGAGCATCTACCTTTGTAAATACTACATGGTTATCCTGTGTAAGTGGAGATGTTTATTAGCATCATCATATAAGCATCTAGTTCTTTTTTTTATTTGAGATGGAGTCTCGCTCTGTCGCCCAGGCTGGAGTGCAGTGGCGTGGTCTCGGATCACTGCAAGCTCTGCCTCCTGGATTCACGCCATTCTCCTGCCTCAGCCTCCCAAGTAGCTGGGACTACAGGCGCCCGCCACCACGCCTGGCTAATTTTTTGTATTTTTTAGTAGAGATGGGGTTTCACCGTGTTAGCCAGGATAGTCTCAATCTCCTGACCTCGTGATCCGCCCACCTCGGCCTCCCAAAGTGCTGAGATTACAGGCGTGAGCCACCGTGCCCGGCAAAGCATCCATTTCTAAAACTATGGAAATAAAATCTGAAATGAACAATTGTTTTTCAGGGTAATATCTAGAAAGGGTACCTGACAAAAACAACCATAGAGTTAAAAGTAGCTCAAGGTGATTAGACAAGAGGAATACTATTTTTCTTTAGTTAAAGAAACCATAGAGCTTCCCAAACTTATCTGAGAGTCGAATGACTTGGAGGGTGTCTATGTGTGTGCAAGACATTTTGAAAATAAGGGTTCCTACAAGTGCTCTTCTCTAGATTCTGGTAGGGATTTAAAAAATCATGCCTCTAGGGGCTGTGGCATGAGCCTGTAGTCCCTGCTACTCAGAAAGGTGAGGCTAGAGGATCCCTTGAGCCTAGGATTTTAAGGCTACAGTGAGCTATGATGGTGCCTGTGAATAGCCACTGCCCTCCAGCCCGGGCAACATGGTGAGACCCCGTCTAACCAAATGAAATAAAATCATGCCTAAGGGATTTTCATGCAGTCAGTCTTCAGTCTGGTATCTTGGAACTATGTCTATATTGGGCGTCCTGAAGTACATTTTATGATTAACTTAGTTTTCCCTGTTTCCGACTATTTTGTTTTCTCTGTGATGGTTACAGTCAGGGCAGCTGCTTTGGGTTTTGCTGTTTATGAGTGTGTAGGGGAGGTGCAACTGGGTGCTGAAATTTGGTCTGTCCTCTACTTGACAAGCTGTGTACCACCTTTTTCTCATTGGTCTGCCCAAAGGGCACTTTTCTTCCTCTTTTTAAAAAATTAAATAAACCTTTAAACATTTATTTAATAGATAAAAATTATAGGTTGGCATGGTAGCTCATGCCTGTAATCTCAGCACTTTGGGAGGCCAACACAGGAAGGTTGCTTGAGCCCAGGAATTCAAGAGCAGCTTGGGCAACATAGTGAGACCCCATCTCTACCAAACATAAAAAAATTAGCTGGGCATGCTGGTATGTTCCTATAGTCCTAACTACTTGGGAGTCTGAGGTGGGAGGATTGCTTGAGCCTGGGAGGTCGAGGCTACAGTGAATCATGATTGCACCACTGCACTGTAGCCCGGGCAACAGAGTGAGAAGGTGTCTCAAAAATACATAGATATTTATCATGTGCAACATGTTTTGAAATATGTATATATTGTAGAATGGCTAATTTGAGCTAACTAACATGCATTACCTCACTTACTTATCTTTCTTTCTTTTTTTTTTTTTTGAGACGGAGTCTCTCTCTGTCGCCCAGGCTGGAGTGCAGTGGTGCGATCTCGGCTCACTGCAAGCTCTGCCTCCCGGGTTCATACCATTCTCCTGCCTCAGCCTCCCGAGTAGCTGGGACTACAGGCGCCCGCCACCTCGCCTGGCTAGTTTTTTGTATTTTTTAGTAGAGACGGGGTTTCACTGTGTTAGCCAGGATGGTCTCGATCTCCTGACCTCGTGATCCGCCCGTCTCGGCCTCCCAAAGTGCTGGGATTACAGGCTTGAGCCACCGTGCCCGGCCTGATTGATTGCTTTTTGATTCTGGACCTGTTGTAAATCTGCATGGGCATTTTATATTGGTGTAATTGATTAAATATTCTGAGGTCAAAGAATGTAAATAATGTTGTGTTATGGATTTTTTGCACTAGTTTTAGAGTGATGCTTATAGTTCCATTGAAGCATAAAATTTGACTATCATTTATTTCTCAAGGGCTTTATAATATGTATTAGCCTACTGAACTAATTTCCTTAATGTTACATGTTAAATGTAATTAAAAACAATTTTAATATTCCATATGACTAATACATTTTAGAATCAGTTATCTCCTCTTGTAAATAAATTAATGAAACCCATTTCTACTCTTTTTTCCCTTAGTTTTTGTCTTTTTTGATCTGACTGTAGATGATCAGTCAGTTTATCCTAAGGCATTAAGAGATGAATACATCATGTCAAAAACTCTTGGAAGGTAAATTATTTTCTTATATAACTGCGCTTAATTTTTTCCCTATACATTTGTGATTGGTAGTTTCTAATTTCTGATTTTATAATACTTATTATGTATTGATAACATTTATATGGTATCTATTTGTGTATTTTTTTATTTATATTTTTGTGAGTTATTTTACACAGTCATTTTAATTTATTTTTATTTTATTTCTTTGTGAGACAGAGTGTTGCTCTGTTACCCAGGCTAGAGTGTAGTGGCACGATCAGAGGTCACTGTGGCCTTGATCTCCCAGATCAAGGGAATCAGGCATGCAGTACCATGCACAGCTAATGCATGTTGTTTTTTTTTTTAGAGTTGGAGTTGCGCTGTGTTGCCAGCTCTGGTCTTGAACTCCTGGGCTCAAGTCATTCTCCTGCCTTAGTCTCCCAAAGTGCTGAGATTAGTGGCACGAGCCACCATGCCTAGCCAAGTATTTCTTTTTTTATTTCCTTTGTGTGTGTGTGTGTGTGTGTGAGAGAGAGAGAGGGAGAGAGAGACAGACAGAGAGAGACAGAGTCTTGCTCTGTTGCCTAGGCTGGAGTGCAGTGGTATGATCTTGGCTCACTGCAACCTCCACTTCCCAGGCTCAACTGATCCTCCCACCTTAGCCTCCCAAGTAGCCGGGACTATAGGCTCGCACCACCATGCCTGGCTAATTTTTGTATTTTGCGTAGAGTTGGGGTCTTGCCATGTTGCCCAGGCTGGTCTTGAACTCCTGAGCTCAAGCAACCCACCCACCTTGGCTTCCCAAAGTGCTAGGATTACAGGCATAAGCCACTGCGCCTGGCTGTGTGTATAGTATTTCACTGTGTATATATACACAACATTTACTTTGTCCATTCATTCATTGATGGACACTTAGGTCGCTTCCCTATCTTGGCTATTGTGAATATTGCTGAATTGAACATAGGAGTGCAGATATCTCTTCAACATACTGATTTAATTTTTTTTTTATATATATCCAGAAGTGGGATTGCTAGATTATATGGTAATTATAATTTTAGCTTTTTGAGGAACCTTTATACTAGTTTCTGAAATGACTGTACTACTTTACATTCCCACGAACAGCGTACCAAGGTTCTCTTTTCTTCACATCCTCTCCAATACTTGTTATTATTCATCTTTTTGATAATCGCCATTCTAACAGGCTTCAGGTAATATGTCATTGTGGTTTTAATTTGCATTTCCTTGATGGCTAGAGATGTTGAGCATTTTTCATACATCATAATAGGTATATTTTTGATGTGTTTGATAATAATTAATTGAAATTAACTCTTTTGCCTCATGAATTTTATTGGTGATAATTATTTTTAATTTATTTTTATTTTATTTCCTTGTGAGACAGGGTGTTGCTCTGTTACCCAGGTTGGAGTGTAGTGGCATGATCAGAGCTCACTGTAGGGGCCTGAGAGAGGGTTTCACCATATTGGCCAGGCTTGTCTCAAACTCCTGACTTATGATCTGCCTACCTTGGCCTCCTGGAGTGCAGTAGTGTTACCACAGCTTATGGCAGCCTTGATTTCTCAGGTTCAAGCAATCCTCCCACCTCAGCCTCCCGAGCAGTTGGGACTACAGGGATGTGCCACCACATCCAGCTAATTTTTACTTTTTTTTTTTGAGATGGAGTTTTGTTCTTGTTGCCCAGGTTGGAGTGCAATGGTGTGGTCTCAGCTCACTGCAACCTCCGCCTCCTGGCTTCAAGTGATTCTCCTGCCTCAGCCTCCCAGGTAGCTGGGATTGCAGGTGCCCACCACCACACCTGGCTAATTTTTTTGTATTTTTAGTAGAGACGGGGTTTCACCATATTGGCCTGGCTGGTCTTGAACTCCTGACCTCAGGTGATCTGCCTACCTCAGCCTCCCAGAGTGCTGGGATCACAGGCATGAGCCAACACGCCTGGGCCTAATTTTTATTTTTTTATTGTAGAGATGAGTCTTGTTATGTTGCCTAGGCTTGTCTCGAACTCCTGGGCTCAAGTTATGTTCCTGCCTCAGCCTCTCAAAGTGTTGGGATTATAGGTATGAACCACTGTGTTTGGCCAAGACATTTTTATATTAATTCATTAAGTAAACTTACTACATGTTAAGATGGGTAACATTTATTTTTTTCTTCTTGAGACGGAGTCTCGCTCTGTCACCCAGGCTGGAGTCCGGTGGCTCAATCTCGGCTCACTGCAACCTCCGCCTTCCAGGTTCAAGTGATTCTTCTGCCACAGCCACCCAAGTAGCTGGGACTACAGGCCTGTGCCACCACGCCCAGCTAATTTTTTGTATTTTTAGTAGAGATGGGGTTTTACTGTGTTAGCCAGGATGGTCTCGATCTCCTCATCTCATGATCTGCCTGCGTCAGCCCCCCAAAGTGCTGGGATTACAGGCGTGAGCCACTGCGCCTGGCCTGAGTAATATTTTTTTATGAAAAATAATTATTAAAAAGATTAGTGAGAAGAGAGGAACTATTCGACATTTTTCCAAATTTTTTTGACATCTGGCTTACTTAGAAGATGGCTAGATTCTGATATTTGCTTCCTCATTCAGTCTGTTATGTTGTCACATGCCACGTAGCCTCTGGAAAACTCCATATGTATGAGCTAATGAGAATGGAAAACACAAATAATGTCTTAGTATTATTCTGAACATAGTTGTGGCTTTGTGGATGCCCTGCAAGGCCTTGGGGTCCTGTTGGGGAGATCCAGTCATACTTTGAGAACCATTTCTTTAGGAAAGTATCAGGATACTGTTACCACATTACAAAATGCTCTTCAACCCCCTTCCCTTCTCACAAAGGTCTTTCTACTGATATTTTTGGAAACACGGAAGTAGAAAGTACATAAAAGGAAATAATCCTCCATATTCCTGCAACATAGTCAAGCACAGTATCCTCTTTATTATATGGGCAAAATTTTAGTTTACTGATACTGAATTCAGTAACTGATTGTGTTTCCATATTTGCACGGGGGTTGCTTGAATCTTGCTGTCAAACCTTTTTCTTTTCTTTTCTTTTGTTTTTTTTTTTTTTACTGAGACTAGAGTTAGACTCTGTTCGCCAGGCTGGAAGTACAGTGGCGAGATCGTCGGCTGACTTCGCAGACTTCGGCCTCTTAGGTTGGTTCAAGCAAATTCTCTGCGCATCGAGCCTCCCGAGTAGCTGGGATTACACAGTGCCCACCACCAACCCTGCTAATTTTTTGTATTTTTAGCAGGGACTGGGGTTGTCACCCTGGTTGGCCAGGCTGCGGTACTGTGAACCCACTGACGCTCAGGTGATCCACACGCCTCGGCCTCCCAGAAGTGCTGGATACAAGGGCGTGAGACCACCCAAATGGGCATGCGTGGCTCACGCCTTCGTTATCCCCAGCACTTTGGTAGGCCGAGGCGGGTGCGATCCACCTGAGGGTCAGGTGGTTCAAGAGCAGTCTGGCCAACAGGGTGAAACCCGTTCCCTGCTTATAAAATACAAAAATTAGCCCGGGTGCTGTGGAGCATGCCATTAATCGCCAGCTACGTGGGAGGTGAGGTAGAGAGAATAGCTTGAACCCAGGAGGGGGAGGTTGTAGTGAGCCGAGATCGCGTCACTGTACTCCACCCTTGACAACAGAGTGACAATGTCTCAAAAAAAAAAAAAAAGTATGAGGCTGGGTATGGTGGCTCATGCCTGTAACCCCAACACTTTGGGAACCTGAGGCAGGCTTGAGTTTAGGAGTTCGAGACCAGCCTGGGCAGCGGGGTGAAATCCTGTCTCTAGAAAAAAATAGAAAAAGTTATTTTTCTGAGCATGGTGGGCTGCACCTGTAGTCCCAGCTACTTGGAAGGTGGAAGTGGGAGGATTACTTGAGCCCAGGAGGTGGAGGCTACAGTGAGCCGTGATCATGCCACTGTATTCCAGTCTGGGCGATAGAGTGAGACCATATCTCAGAAGGGGGAAAAGTAAAAGAAGAAATGTATGGAACTCGATGTTTTCCTAAGGGAGGATTTAATATGAATTCTCTAACTTGTAGCAAATGACAGAAACTCAACTCAAATGAGTCAGGTAAGATAAAAAATTTACTGGCTTTTGTAACTGGGAAATAGAGAGCCAGGCTGGGCACAGTGGCTCACGCCTGTAATCCCAGTACTTTGGGAGGCCAAGGCAGGCAGATCACTTGAGGTTAGGAGTTTGAGACCAGCCTGGCTGACATGGTAAAATGCCGTCTCTACTAAAAATATAAAAATTAACTGGGTGTGGTGGCATATGCCTGTAGTTACAGCTACTTGGGAGGTTTAGGCAGGAGAATCGCTTGAACCCAGGAGGCAGAGGTTGCAGTGAGCTGAGATGGCATCACTGCACTCCAGTCTGGGTGACAGAGCAAGACTCTGTCTCAAAAAAAGGGGAAAAAAAAAAAAAAAAGAAACAGGCAAATCCTTACTTCAGGCATGGCTGGATCTAGGAGGTCTTTAGGCTTTTACTTCATGGTCTTTGAGTTCTGATGGTCTGGTTGACTGCATCTGAGAGCTCTCACAGCGTCACCAGGGCTCTAGCTCCATCTCTTGATTTGGCTGTTTGTTGCCTTCCTATAGAATTGTTCTATGTGGCAGGAAAAATGGCTACCAGGAAGTGCAGATTGATATTTTCTTTGTCTAGAAACTACAGCAGAGAGAACTCTGTCTCCCAATGTCAGCATTTGATTTCAAGGGCAACTCTGGCTGTATGTGTGAATGAATGACAGGGTGTTGCTTTGTTTCTCAGGCTGGAGTGCAGTGGCATGAATGATCACGGCTCACTGTTCCAGCTCAGTTTTGGTTATGTAGCTATCGTGTGTTTCTAGGAGTAGGGATTGTGCCACAGTAGACCCCCAACTAGAGCTGCATGAACTCAGGGAAGAATTCCCGGGCAAAGAGTGACTGTTTCCAGGAGAAGGGAAATTGGAAAGTGCTTTGAGCTGATTTAAAAAAGAACAGTTGCGTGGACCCTTACCTCATACCATACATAAGAATTAATTCAAAGTGGAACCAAGAATGAAATATAAGAGGTAAAACTTTACAACTCTGGGAAGAAAATATAGGAACAACTCTTCATGACCTTGTATTTGGCAGTGGTTTCTTAAATAAGACACAAAAGCACAGCAACAAAAGAAAAAATAGATAAATTAGACTTAAACAAAATTAAAAACTTTTGTGTCTCAAAAGATACCTATCAAGAGAGTGAAAACACAACCAACAGAATGATAAAATATTTGCAAGCCCTATATCTGATAAGGGCTTATGTCCACAATAGATAAAGACATCTTAGAATTCTACAATAAAAAAACAAACAACCTGCCATTTAAAAATGGGCAAAGGCACTGTACTCCAGCCTGGGTGACAGAGTGAGATCCTGTCTCTAAAAACAAAACAAAAAAAATGGGCAAAGGGCTTGAATAGACATTTCTCTCAAGAAGACATACAATGGTCAAAAAGCACATCAAAAGATGCTGAATATCATTAGTATTAGGGAAATACAAATCAAAACCACAATGAGATACTACTTCACAGCTACCTTCTAGGGACCACAATAAGGAAACAGAAAATAGTAACTGTTGGTGAGGATGTGGAGAAATTGGAACCCCTGTGCACTGATAATGGAATGTAAAATGGTGTAGCCGCTGTGGAAAATAGTTTGGTGATTTCTTAAAAAGGTAAACATCCGAGCTCTATGAGGCATAAATAACAACAACAAACAATAACAGAAAAAGGTAAAGAGAATTATCATGTGACCCAGAAATTTTCCTTCTAGGTTTATAAATTTCCCAATTTAAAAAACAAGTGTTCAGGCCGGGCACGGTGGCTCACGCCTGTAATCCCAGCACTTTGGGAGAGTGTGGTGGGTGGATCGCTTGAGGTCAGGAGTTCGAGACCATCCTGCTCAACATGGTGAAACCCTGTCTCTACTAAAAATACAAAAATTAGTTGGGTGAGGTGGCACACACCTGTAATCCCAGCTACTCAGGAGGCTGAGGCACAAGAATTGCTTGAAGCCAGGAGGCGGAGGTTGTAGTGAGCTGAGATTGTGCCACTGCACTCCAGCCTGGGCAACAGATCGAGCCTATACCTCAAAAAAAAAAAAGCAAACAAGTGTTCAGACAAAAACTTGTACATGAACATTCATAGCAGCTTTAGTCACAATGAAGAAGTCTAGTTTATCTATTTTTTTAATTTTGTTGCTTAAGCTTTTGTTGTCATATTGAAGAAACTACTTAGAAAAGGTAGAAACAAACCAAATAATGTCCATCAGAAGGTGAATAGATAAACAAAATATGATACTTCTATATAATGGAATATTATTCAGCGGTAAAAAGGAATGACGTACCACAAATGTTATGGCATTACGCTAAGTGAAAGAATCCAGACACGAAAGGCTACATATTGTATGATTTCATCGATATGAAATATTCAGAATAGGCAAATCAATACATAGAGAAAGCAGATTAGTGGTTGCCAGGGGCTGGGGGCTGGGGGCTGAGGGCTGGGGACAGGGTAGAGTAAGGAATGACTGCTTAATTGCTTATAGGTACAGGGTTTCCATTTGAGCTAATGAGCAAGTTCTGGAATTAGATGCTGATGGTTGTAGAACATTGGCAGTGTACTTAATGCCACTGAATAGTATACTTTAAAATGATTACAGTGATACATTTTGTGTTATGTATATTTAACACAATAAAAAAGATGTCTTGGTAAACCCTCAACTCGCCCGTTCAAAACCCACAATAGTTATAATAGTCTACTTCATAATGGATAATTGATGCCCTAGTAGCCATTCTCTTGGGCTGACCCAAGCTTTGGAGGACAGATCCTACTCAGGATTAACTGTGTTCTGGGTAATGGCTTGGAGAGCATTCCTCTTCCATGAGTAGTATCCCAATTAACTGCAAATCTCTGTGAGAGGTTGCTGCAAGTAGGCTAATTGTGTAATACTTTTGATTTCTTAGGTAATCAGATTTGATTTAGGGTGCAACTCATGCTGTCAACTGCTTATGCACTTCCTTTTAAGATGGAGAATAAGAAAGAAAGAAATATATCCATTAAAGTTATTCATTTGCAGATTCTGTTTACTGTTATTTGTTTGGGGCACTCATGACCAGGGAGGGCTGTCTCTAGTTAATGTTTTTCTGACCTCTCGGATAAGTAGTTTCTCTCTCATTTTTCTCTTAGTATCTTTCTGGGAATTTCACAATCCAGGGCTGCAGTAAGACACATGTTTGTATCACTCAGCTCAGAAATGGAATTTGGAGCTGACTTAGTGTTTTTGGCTGTTAAGCCCTTGACATTTTACATTGGTGAAGTTTCACTGTGTCCTCTGCAAACAGGGACAATGGAAAGGTTGTTATATGGAATGTCTGTAAATTCTAATACTCGAAGCGGACCCAGGAGTGGTAGGTCTCATAATTAAAAACATTCAGACAATCACTGTCTTTGTTTTTCCCTCTAGTGGTGCCTGTGGAGAGGTAAAGCTGGCTTTCGAGAGGAAAACATGTAAGAAAGTAGCCATAAAGATCATCAGCAAAAGGAAGTTTGCTATTGGTTCAGCAAGAGAGACAGTAAGTACCAACAAAAGGCTGCTCACCTTTTATTAACATGTCTTCATAACTTCCCAAAATAATCTTAGCTTGATGATTTTCAAACTCAGGAATAACCCCCTGCTTAGATGGATGAATTTGTGAGTATCAAAGAACATGGAAAATTTGGGGGCATCTTTGATTAATCTAAAAACTTTTACTTATAGATAATTCGGTTCCAAAAGTATTTAATTGTACATAATAATGAGCATAGCGGGAAGTTTTTTTTTTTTCTTCTTCTTCCAAGTTCAAAGTTGTTACAAGATTGTTTTTACAATAAATGACAGGAAATTAGAGAAAAAAATTCAGCCATAATCCCCACTGTAACTCCACAGCTGTTTTCAGTTTTCCTTTTCCTTCTAGGTTTTGTTCAGATGAAATCGTGTTTTTAGATGGTTGAAATCATCTTGTATGTACAGTTTTGTATTTTGCTTTTCTACAAATGCATTATGGTATAGACTTTTGCCTAATACATCCTTTTTGATGACTGAGTTTTCATGTCATCAACTTTATTGTAATTTAACCATTTCTTTGGCGATCATTTAGACAATTTCTTATTATTTGCTGTTCTGGGTAATATGGCAGTGAGTATCCTTGGTTTGTGGATTAGCCATAGATTTTTAAATTTTTAATTAAATCATTGAAATAGCCTTTCTTTATAGCAGTCATTTATTTTACTACTTTTTTTTAATCCACATTTACTGTGTGGGAGAGATGGCCAAATGCATTGGTCTTTCCGCATGTGACTCAAAAAAGTAATGTAAAACACAGCCTCTAATCACATTTTCCCTTGTGGCCAGCTGTTTCTGGCTATTATACTTTCACATTCTTTAAAGATCAATTTTTTTCCCCCTAGACAATGCCATTCTCACATGGCAAGAGGAATTTCCTTTTTGTGTTCACTTTGTTATAGATCTTTTTCCTTATGATTGTAAGATTTGTTTCCCATTTAGGGGAGAAGAAAATACCAACTAGATTGTTAAAAACTGGGAGTAAAATTTTATGTTTTGATTTCATTATTTGAATCAGATTGGACCCTTTGTGACCATTCTGTTATCGGAGTATACCCTGACTTGGTAATGAGTTTAGCAGCTTACAGGAAGAGGCAGGCTCTTAAAATTAAACATCTGGGTTTCTTAGCTGAAGTTCATTTTACATAAATATGTAATTCTATCTCCTCTTTGCTTGTGGAGGGTGTAGCCCAGGAAGTTGAGTTACTTGATTCATCCTTTTGGAATTGTAACAGAACAACTTTAGTACCCTGAAGCCTCTTGTCAGAGTCTCAGTAAATATATGAGCCTGCTATTGAAGTTGGAACCTGTATCTGCTCTATTAGTAGAAATTTGACTTGACATTTTCTTTATGCAGTTTAATTGAACACCTTCTTGTTCATGTTTCTTTTATCATTTTAATGAATGTAAATAGTTCCATAGCTAATAAGTAGGGTTTACTAATTAAAAATGAACACAGTGGAAAGATACTTGTTTCTGACTGTGGAGATTAGGGCAAGGGACTTCTGTTTTCTGAGCCTTGGTTGCCCCATCTGTAAGATGGGGATTCTGAGGCTTATGAGACATGATCTCTGTAAATAAAGAGCTTGGCACAGGGCCTGGCCATTTATTGAATGCTTACTATTTGCCAAGCATTTTACAGAGTTATTTTAGGTGAAGTATTTAAGTCATTGACCTCTGGGCTTTGATTTCTTTGTATGAATAGAGTTGGGTTTGGAACTCAGGCAGCCTTGAGTCAACTAAGTTTAACTGTAAATGTTTTTTAAAATATATTATTAATAAACTCTGTTATTCTATTTATCAAAGGACCCAGCTCTCAATGTTGAAACAGAAATAGAAATTTTGAAAAAGCTAAATCATGTAAGTATTATTGTAAGATATGACTCATACTTAGATTTATTTTTCTCAAAATATGAGAAGAGTATAAAGCCTTTCAGTATAATAAAGATATTGGCTGGGTGTGGTGGCTGATGCCTGTAACCCTAACACTTTGGGAGGCCGAGGCAGGCAAATCACCCGAGGTCACGAGTTTGAGGCCAGCCTGGCCAACATGGTGAAACCCTGTCTACTAAAAATACAAAAAATTTGCTGGGCATGGTGGCACATGCCTGTAATCCCAACTACTCGGGAGGCTGAGGCAGGAGAAGTGCTTGAATCTGGGAGGCAGAGATTGCAGTGAGCCAAGATCGCGCCACTGCACTCCAGCCTGGGCGACAGAGTGAGACTCTGTCTCAAAAAAAAAAAAATTAAATGAATAAATAAAATAAAGCTAATATTAACCTGGGTTCTTTAACTTATGTGTACATGTACATGCATGCCTAGTTGTCATATAGCTGGGAAGAGTTTTACCCCAAAATGTTATTGAGTGAACAATACTATATAAAGATTTCATGATTAAATAATTACATGATATTTCTTCTGAGTTAGTTCTTGACCAAAAGACATAACAATTATTCTATCTCATAGACACAACTGGTTATATTGGAGAAGACAGTGTTAATTTTAGTAAATTTGGTTTAGTTATACCTGAAGTTTTAACACCTTTGAATACCTTTTATTTGGAGTAATCCAAATAAATCCAAGCGTATCCGTTAAGTATGACAACATCCTGTCCTTATATCTGATTAAATGGTGTCTGTGGCCTTGTTAGGTGTAAGTAGTTCTTATCTTTTTGTGCAGTGATGACTCTGTCTCAATGAAAAATGTGTCTCACTTTTAAAAAGTGAGAAGAAAAATTAGCGGGTGGGCCTAATCTTATCTTGCTTTTTATTGGTTTTTTCAGTTTCTTCATTAATTCATGAGCACCCGTGAAGGCGTAAGCTCATTAGGCACTGGCATTAAACTCAAGGCAAGACCACTCTCCTGTCCAGCTAATGATGATCTTATTCTGGCTTTTTTTTTTTTTGAGACGGAGTCTTGCTCTGTTGCCTAGGCTGGAGTTCAGTGGCGCAATCTTGGCTCACTGCGAGCTCCGCCTCCCAGGTTCACGGCATTCTCCTGCCTCAGCCTCCCGGATAGCTGGAACTACAGGCACCCACCACCACACCCGGCTAATTTTTTGTATTTTTAGTAGAGATGGGGTTTCACCATGTTAGCCAGGATGGTCTCGATCTCCTGACCTCGTGATCCACCCGCCTCGGCCTCCCAAAGTGCTGGGATTACAGGTGTGAGCCACCGCACCTGGCCTTATTCTGGCTTTTAACCTCCAAACAGCAAAAAGGTTTCTTCTCTGTTGTTCTACCTCTCCAAATCCCCCCAAAAAGTCAGTAGAAACTGAGGAGCAATTACTGTTGTTGACACAGTACTTCAACAGGTTCCTTTAGAACTCAGTGGGTGGACCTGAAAACCCATGAGAACCTGAGTGGCTGACCTTCCTGCTTGGCTTCTGTTTCTTTTGCAAATTCTTCGTCCTCCCTGAATTTGCCAGGTCCTTTTTCCAAGAGATGGGGAGTCTCTCTTTAACATACACACACAGATACACACACACACTTGCTGGGCATGGTGGCACATGCCTGTAATCCCAGGCTTCAGTGCAGTGGCAAAATCATAGCTCACTGCAGCCTCGAACTCCTAGGACCAGGCAATCCTCCTGCCTCAGCCTCCTGAGTAGCTGGGACTATAGGCATGTGCCACCATGCCCTTCTGGGAGAGAGGAGCCCTCCAATTTTCTGGGGTGGGGTTGCATCAGACCTACCCTTAAGATAAACACAAATGCGCTGGGCACTGTGGCTCACGCCTGTAATCCCAGCACTTTGGGAGGCTGAGGCGGGCAGATCACAAGGTCAGGAGATTGAGACCATCCTGGCTAACATGGTGAAACCCCGTTTCTACTAAAAATACCAAAAAAACCCAAAACAAAACAAAACAAAAATTAGTCGGGCGTGGTGGTGGGCGCCTGTAGTCCCAGCTACTCAGGAGGCTGAGGCAGGAGAATGGCCTGAACCCGGGAGGCAGAGCTCACAATGAGCCGAGATTGTGCTACCGCACTCCAGCCTGGGCAACAGAGCAAGACTTCGTCTCAGGAAAAAAAAAAAAAGATAAACACAAATGCTCAGGGAATTTTCTCTGATGTCAGATGATCTTCAAACACAACATTTGTACAAATCCGGTGTCCAGTGCAATAGAGAAGAATTCAAAACCCTAAAAAAGATTTCTAGACATATTTATTTGCATTTTACAAGGGCACATGGAACTCTTGGGAATTAAACATGGACTCATGAGTGCATTTTGATGCTTGGGGACAATAAGTAGAGTCTAGTGGCCAAGAGAGCCGGAACTTTGCAGTCAGAGATTGATATGGAGAGTTTTTGAACACTTATCATGCCAGGCTGTTTTGTGGACCCAGGCAGTGGTAAGCACAGATAGCGCTGTCCTTTCCTTCCCTCACGTGACTTTAGTGTGGAGATAGACCTGGGTTCCTATCTCAGTACTATCAAAGAAACTGAGAAGTCATTTGAAAAGTTTATTTTACTTATTGGAACCCCCGTTTCCTCAGCTGTACAATGAAGACAGTAAGAATACTTATGTCACAAGGTCAGTGTGATAATTTAATGAGACGTGCTCCTAAAGCTTTCAGCACAGACAACACACTTGGAGAGTGACAGAGATCATTAATTCCCTGAACTGCTTTCCCAGTGTGACCTAAATGGAAGGTGTGGGTTAGTAGCTTCTGATTCCTGGTGGAGAGACCCTTTTAGCTGTGACAGCCCCAGTCAATGACCCTGGAGGTAGTGGACACTAGAGGAGATAATTCACACTGGTTCTGACCATCAGGTATCTCTTCATGCTCTGTTAGCTCCAGACCCCACCCATTTTCGGATAGGTACTGGCACTGCCCATTATGAAGCCAACCAGAACCAAGCAGTTCCCATTTTTCCTTCTCTCTGTTCCTTTTCTATGTGTGGCTTTTCTTCTTTCCTATTTGTGTATGTATGTATGTATGTATGTATGTATGTATGTATGTATGTGATGCAGTCTCCCTCCGTTGCCCAGGCTGGAGTGCAGTAGCGTGATCTCGGCTTACCGCAACCTCCGCCTCCAGGGTTCAAGTGATTCTGCCTCAGCCTCCAGACTAGCTGGGATTACAGGGAGCCGCCACCATGCTCAGCTAATTTTTGTATTTTTAGTAGAGATGGGGTTTCGCCATGTTGCGCAGGCTGGTCTCAAACTCCTGACCTCAGGTGATCTGCCTGTCTTGGCCTCCCAAAGTGCTGGGATTACAGGTGTGAGCCACAGCTCCTGGCTTTATTCTCCTTTAAAAGGTACTTTTTACAGCCGTGCATGGTGGCTCATGCCTATAATCCCAGCACTTTGGGAAGCTGAGGTGGGAGGATCACTTGAGCCCAGAAAGTCGAGACTGCAATAAGCCATGATCACCCCATTGCACTTCAGCCGGGCAGCAGAGTGAGAGCCTGTCACAAAAACAAAAGCAAAACAAAACAAAAAACACAAAAACCTGACCATATGACTCAAGCTGCCTGTTTATGTTTTCCCCATCCTACCTAGAGGTAATGCCATTACCTTGAATGCTGTGTGTACTATCCCCCGCCTTTTTTTTTTTTTTTTCCCTGAGACAGGCAGAGTCTTGCTCTGTTGCCAGGCTGGAGTGCAGTGGCGTGATCTTGGCTCCCTGCAAACTCCTGCCTCCCAGGTTCAGGAGATTCTCCTGCCTCAGCTTCCCGGAGCAGCTGCGCTGCTACAGGTGCATGCTACCACGCTCAGCCTAATTTTTGTATTTTAATAGAGACAGGGTTTCACCCATGTTGACCAGGATAGTCTCAATCTCTTGACTTGGTAATGCTGCTCGCCTCTCGCCTCCAAAGTGCGGGGATTACAGGTGTGAGCCACTGTGCTGGCCTGTCCCTTGCTTTTTATTTTAATGTAATGTAATGTAATTTTTTTTATTTATTGTTTTTTATTTTTTTGAGATGGAGTTTTCGCTCTTGTTGCCAGCGCTGGAGTGCCATGGTGGTGATTTCGGCTCACTGCAAACTCTGCCTCCCGGGTTCAAGTGATTCCTAGGTACAAGTGATTCCCCTGTCTCAGCCTCCAAGTAGCTCGGATTACAGGCACTGACCACCACGCCCAGCTAATTTTTTTTGGTGTTATAGAACGACATAGTGTTTCACCATGTGTAGTCCAGGTAGTCGTGGACTCCTGACCTCAGGTGATCCATTCGCCTTGGCCTCAAAAGTGGCTGGGATTACAGGCCGTGCGCCAACCTCTGCCCGGCCCCTTGCTTTGTGTAAAGCCACATATATAATACAGACTGTACTCTAGATACGAATACAGTTTTACTGCTTGTTTCTGAACCTTATAAAAATGGCTCACACAACTTGAGGGGTGTCCCTTATCCCATAATGGCCTGGGGACGCGCAGGTTTTTGGATCCTTGATCCTTCTCTGGATCTTCGAAAAACATTTGGGGCATGTGTACGTTCCCTGGTTGTGGCTTCCAGAAATCCAAAAACTCGTGAAATCCCAAATCGCTCCAATGAGTATTTCTTTGAGTTGTTGTGTCAGCTCTCACGGGAAAGACTTGGGGGAGGCGCATTGGCTCACGGCCTGTAATGCCCAACAACCTTTGGGAGGCTGAGGCAGGTGGTCACGAGGGTCAGGAGTTCGCAAGACCGGCACGGCCAAGATGGTGAAACCGGTGCTGTCTCTAGCTAAAAATACAAAATTCAGCCAGGGGCGCAGTGGGCCAGGGGCCACCCATAATTCCCAGCTACTCGGGCGAGGACTCGGGGCGAGGAGAATTGCCTTGAATCCCGGCGGGCGGCAGAGTTTTGCAGTGAGAGCCAAGATGCAGCACCACTGATACCTCGTAGCCTGGCGCGACATGAGTGAGGACTCCTGTCTCAGGAAAAAAAAAAAAAAAAAAAAAAAAGATTTGGATTTTGGGATCCATTCAAGAATTTTAGATTTTCGCTATGTAGTGATGCTCGGGGACTTTGTATCATACGTCTTTTGAAGTCTTTGTGACTTGCCTTTTTCCCATCAGACATTATGCTTCCAAGAACCCATCTATGGTGGGGAAAAACTGTGGCATTCATTCATTAATTGGAAGGTTCCATTGGAGGATCTTAATCAGAGTGATGAGTGATGAATATGATGAAATACACATTATAGGAAGATCAATCTGGCAAGTTTTACCACTCTTTTGAATCTAAAACCAAAAAATCTGATGGCTTTTTTAAATTCTGATATAACTACAATCCTCCTCTGTGCTGATGAATACTCACCAAATCTTTTATTTGCCCACTGAGCTTAACTGTCTTCTGTCCTTTTTATCGTAAAAACAATAGGCATGCCCACCGGGCATGGTGGCTCACTGCTGTAATCCCAACATTTTGGGAGGCTGATTATAAAAATGGTACACATTGAGGGTCCCTTATCCATAATGCCTGGGACCAGAGGTTTTTGGATCTTGAATCTTTTTGGATTTTCGAACATTTGCATTGTACTTCCTGGTTGTGCATTCCAGATCCAAAAATCTGAAATCCCAAATGCTCCAATGAGTATTTCCTTTGAGTGTTGTGTCAGCTCTCAGAAAGATTTGGGGCCAGGCGCAGTGGCTCACGCCTGTAATCCCAACACTTTGGGAGGCTGAGGCAGGTGGATCACGAGGTCAGGAGTTCAAGACCGGCTCGGCCAAGATGGTGAAACCGTGTCTCTACTAAAAATACAAAAATTAGCCGGCGCAGTGGCAGGCACCCATGAATCCCGCTACGTCGGAGACTGAGGCAGGAGGAAAAATTGCTTGAATCCCGGCGGGCGGCAGAGTTTTTCAGGTGACCAAGATGCGCACCACATGTAATCTAGCCTGTCGGCGCAGGACAGAGGTGAGGATCTGTTCAGGAAAAAAAAAAAAAAAAAAAAGAAAGATTTGGATTTTGGGATCCATTCCAGATTTTAGATTTTTGTATCGTGTGGATTGCTCGGGACCTTGTATCATACTTCTTTTTGAAGGTCCCTTTTGCTTGACTTTGCCTTTTTCATGCCCAAACCATTATGCTTCCAAGAACCCATCTATGGTGGGGAAAACTGTGGCATTCATTTCATGTATTCGGCGGAAGGTTGCCATTGGTAAGGATCGTAATCAGAAGTGATGAGTGATGAATAGATGAAATACACAATTATAGGAAGATCAATCTGGCAAGTTTTACCACTCTTTTGAATCTAAAACCAAAAAATCTGATGGCTTTTTTAAATTCTGATATAACTACAACCGCCCTCTGTGCTGATGAATACTCCACCAAATCTTTTATTGCCCACTGAAGCTTAACTGTCTTCTGTCCTTTTTTATCG